TGCCTGGGCTGATCTTGAACTTGGGATCCTCCTTAATCAGCCTCCTAAATAGCTGGGATTATTGGCATGTGCCACCACACCTAGCAATTTGGCTGTTTTTTAAATATGCACACTTCAATATAATTTCCCTCTGTTTGCAAAAATAACACTTAGTGTTTGACTTTAAATTAAAATTGGGTTATATGTATGTGACTGGTTTGCCTAAAGAATATGAGTCACCCAATCTTGTAGAAAGTCAGATAAGATCATTTCTTTTTTAAAATGAACTTTTTCCTTTTATTCTTTGTTTCCAACCCCGCTTTCTGCATGATGCTAGGGATCTAACCCACGACCTTGTTACTTGTGAAGTAAATGCTGTACAACTGTACTCCCAGCCCTAAAATAGCTTTTTTTTTTTTTCCCTTTAAGAACAGTTTTAGATTTATAGCACAGTTGAATGGAATGTAGATATGGTTCCCATATAGGTCCTGCCCCTTTGCCCATTCACAACCACCCCTACAATCCATATCCTAATAATATTTGTTACAGCAAATGAATCTATATTAATGCATTATTATCATCCAGAGTCTAAAGGTTATATTAGGGTTCATTCTTAGTGTTATACATTTTCTGGGTTTTGACATACGTGTAATGACATGTAACTACCCTAATAGTATTATAGAGAATAATTTCACTGCCCTAAAAACCTGTGCTCTGCCCATTTATCTCTCCCTCCCCTTTAACTCATGGTAACCACTGATATTTTAACTGTTAACATCGTTTTATATTTTCCAGAATATTATATAATATTCTGATCATATGATATGTAGCTTCAGATTAGCTTTTTTTTGCTTAAATAATATGCTCTTAAGGTTCCTCCATATCTTTTCAAGGTGATAGCTTACTTCTTATTATCTGGATGTTCCAAAGTTTATTTATCCATTCACCTACTGATGAATATCCTGGTTGTTTTATAAGTTTGGGCTGTTAAAAAGAAAGGTGTTTTAAACAACCGTGTGCTGGTTTTTCTATGGACTTAAATTTTAATTTCATTAGGTAAATATCAAGGAGCCTAATGACTGGTAAGGGCATATTTAATATAGTAAGAAACTGTCCAGCTGTTCTTTGAAGCACCTGTATAATTTTGAATTTCCACTAGAAATGTCTAAAGAGTCTCTATTACTCTGCATCCTTGTCAACGTTTGGTATTGTCAGTGTTTTGGATTTGGGTCAGTCTAATAAGAGTATATGGTATATCATTGTTTTAGTTTGTACTTTACCAATGACATGATGTTGAACATCTTTTTACGTGCTTAATTTGCTATCTATGTATCATCTTTACCGAAATGTTTCTTTAGGTCTTTTGCCCATGTTTTAATTGGGCTATTCGTTTTCCTATTGTTGATTTTTTATAAGGAGTTCTGTGTATATAGTGAATTACAGTTTTTTATCTTATATCTGTTTTTTTCTCTGTTGTGTGTTTTCATTCTCTTGATGATGTTTTATGCAGACAACTTTTTAATTTTAAAGTCTATTTTATCATGCCTTTGGTGTTATATCTAAAAAGTCATTGTTACAGCCAAGGTCATCTGGATTTTCTCCTGTGTTGTCTTCTGGGAGTTTTATAATTCTGTGTTTTATGTTAGTTCTGTAGTTTATTTTGTGTTCATTATTTTGTGAAGAGTATAAGATCAGGGTCTAATTTTTTTTTTTTTTTTGCATGCAAATGTCTGGTTTTTCAATACCATTTGAAAAGATTATCTGTTCTCCATTATCTTGTGTTTGCTCTTTAGTCATAGATCAGTTTATTATATTTACATGGGTCTTTTTCTGTGTCATTGATCTATTTGTTTATTCTTTTTCTAGTATCACATAGTTTTATTTCTTTAGCTTTCAGTAACTTTAAAGTCAAGTAGTTTTAGACCTCCAACTTTGTTTTTCAGTATTGCATTGGTTGTTGTGGGCCTTTTACCTGTCTCTGAGTGAGTTTGTCAAAAAACAGAAAATGACTTGCTGTGATTTTGATTGGGATTGCGTACACACCCACACCCACCACCCCCTTTACACATAAATATAAATATAAATGTCTCTGTATATGTGTCTATGTAGAGAGATTAAGTTGGGAAAAACTGACATCTTGACAATATCTAGTCTTCCTATCTATAAACATGGATTTCTTACCCTCTCCCCATTTTTGTTTGTTTGTTTATTTGTTTTGTATTGAGGATTAAACCCAAGGACGCTTTGTCACTCAGCTTTATCCCTACTCCTTTTTATTTTTTGAGACAGGTCTTACTAAATTGTGAGGCTGGCCTGAAACTTGAAATCCTCCTGCCTCAGCCTCCTGAGTCACTGGGATTATAGGCGTGTGCTAGCATGCCTGGCTTGTTTAGGGGATTATTAATGTAAATGGCAATATATTTTAATTTTAAATTCTACCTGCTCATTGCTGCTTTATAGGAAAGTGATCCACTTTTATAAATTAGTATCCTGCAACCATGCTAATCACTTATTAATTCCAGGAGTCTTTTTTCTGTCATTTTCAATTTTTTCAATTATGTTATCTAAAACAAGGAGTTTTGTTTCTTCAGCTCCAATCAAAATGCCTTTCATTTCCTTCTCATTTCAGTGGCTTGGATTTCCAGTATACTGTTGAAAAGGAGTAGTGAGAGGGAACATCCTTGCCTTATTCCCTATCTTTGTATGAGAACTTGAGTTTCTCACTGCAAAGTGTGAAGTTAGTTGTAATTTTTTTCTGATTATCAAGTTGAAGAAATTCCTATGTATTCCTAGTTTGCTTAGAAGTTTTTATTTTTATTATTTTAATCACGTAAGGGCATTGAATTTTGTCAAATGCTTTTTCTGCTTATACAATCATGTGATTTTCCTTGTTTAGCCTATGGATATGATGGATTCTACTAATTTTTTAAAAATGGTTCACCAGCCTTTGCATACCTGGGATAAATCCTGCTTAATTATGATATGTTATTCTTTGTATACATTATTGAGTTTTGTTTGCTAAAATTATGTTGAGAATTTTTAGATCTACTGTGTTCATGAGCAATATTTCTTTGTAGTTTTTTTTTTCACTACCTTTATTTTATTTATTTATTTTTATGTGGTGCTGAGGATTGAATCCAGCACCTCACACATGCTAGGCAAGTGCTGTACCACTGAGCCACAATCCCAGCCCCTTTTATAGTTTTGTTATAGTGCCTGTGTCTGGTTTTATATTAGGGCAATACTGGCTTTTTAAATTAGGAAGTAATCCTTCTTCTGTCTACTGGTAGAATTGTAGAGATTTGGTATAATATTTTTTTCTTAAATGTTTGGTAGAATTTAGCAGTGAATTCATCTGATCCTAGGGTTATTTTTTAAAATTATATTTTTCATTGTAGTTGGATATAATAATTTTATTTTATTTATTTATTTTTATGTGGTGCTGAGGATCAAACCCAGTGTGCCAGGCAAGTGCCCTATCACTGAGCTACAACCCCAGCCCTAGTGCTTTCTATTTTGAGAAGTTATTTATTTTTTTAATTTAATAGTTATAGGCTTTTTGATATTGTTTTTTTTCTTTGTGAATTTTTACAGATTATGTCTTTCAAGAAATTGATCCATTTTCTCTAGATTATTGAATTTGTGGGTATAGAAGTGTTTATAGTATTCCTGTATTATCCTTTGACATCCCTGATAACTTTGCTTGCTTTAAAATGTGCTGTCTAGAATTGATGTAGCTACTCCCACTTTCTTTTCTTCCCCCACCCCCCAACTAATATCACAACAATTTATTATACTACTATGGGCATTTGGAAGAAGAAAGAAACTGCAGATCTGTGGTTAAAAAAAATCTGTAAAGAATGTAAAATTAAGGTTATTCACAGATTTTATGACTGTATACCTGGAAGAGTGACAAGCAACTAAAATCACTTCAGAATTGTAACAAGATTCAAATTCACACAGTAATTAATGGCTCTCATTTGTAATGTTAAAAGAAAAACTATGGAGGATGGGGTGTATATGTTCCATCACCAATATTGGGGGGTTGGGAACAAAACTTTATTTTAACTTTTTTTTCTTTTTAGATAATCATGACAGAGTATATTTTGACATATTATACATACATGGAGTATAACTTCCCATTCTTGTGGTTGTACATGATGTGCAGTTACACTGGTCCTGTATTTATATATGATCATAGGAAACTTATGTCTGATTCATTCTACTCTCTTTCTTATTCCCATCCCCCTACATCCACTTCCCTTTATTTCCCTTTGTCTAATCCATTGAACTTCTGTGTGTCCTCGTGGTGTCCCCTGTTCTGCCTCTATCCCTTATTGTGTATCCAAAAGCATCTGCCTGTCAGAACATTAGGCCTTTGGCTTTTGCGGGTTGGCTTATTTCACTTAGCATGATAGTCTCCAGTTCCATCCATTTGTGGGCAGATGCCATAACTGCATTCTTCTTTATGGCTGAGTAATATTCCATTGTGTATATATATACCACATTTTCTTTATCCAGGCATCTAGGTTGGTTCCATAGCTGAGCTATTGTCCCAATTTCTTTTAATTTGTGTTAGCAAATATCTTTTTCATTTCTTTGCTTTTACTTTGTATTTTTTTGTAATTTAAAGAGGGTTTGTTAAGGACCACATACATTTGGATTTTTTAAAATCTTTTCTGACAATCTATTAATTGGTATATTTAGACCATTGACATTTAAAATGATTGTTGATATATTTCTTACTGTTTTTTATTGTGCTTTCCCCCCTTATTTTGTCTTCTCATGTTCCCTATGATTTTAATTTGAGTATTTCATATTTCATTTTTTCTCCTTTTTTAGTGTATCAATTATACTTGGCTGACTTACAACATATCACATAAAATATACCAAGATAGGTTCTTAGAAATAATAAAAGAAGTAAATGATTCTTTAGCATAATAGCTGTTTGACAAATAGAGATGTTACCAAATGCTAATTTTGTATTAAAAGGAATGAAAACAATTTTTTTTCCATCATAGGATAATTTTAAACATAAAGACTATATTGACCATCAGAAGGATAAAGTTGCATTAACTCTGGCTCGTCTAGCCCGTCATGTTGAAGTAGAGAAACAGCAAAAAGAAGAGAAGAATAGAGCATTCAGGGTAGGTGGCTATTTTAATTGGTATTTTACTACTTTATAGAATTGTTTTGAATACAGATGTAATGAGAAAACTTTGATAAGAAAATGTATGATTGACTCTAATTTCAGCATGTACTCTAGATAGCTCATCAATTCAGTAGTAATTCTTACAGGCTTTTGTTTTTAATATTGGGGGTTAGACCCAGGATTGCTTTACTGCTGAGTTACATCCCCAGTTATTTTTATTTTTGAGACAAAGAGTCTAAGTTACTGAGGCTGATCCTCCTGCCTCAGCCTCCCAGGCTGCTGGGATTATAGGCATGCACCACTCTGCCTAGCTCATATAGGTTTTTACATTTTTGTTTTTAGTTTGTTGGATGTGTATCCCCTGTGTGCATAGGAAAGAAGAAAACATACAAATAACCGAATGGACTTTGATTTGGAGAATGAAAAATCATGACATTTCTTAAGGCAGATAAGTAGTTAAATGTTTTGAGATACTTTATTACATGAGTGAAAGATTTTATCAGGCATTTTATAGAATAAGTTATTGAAAGGTTATTCACTTTTATAAGGATTGAACTCAGTGCCTTGCACATGCTAGGCAAGTGCTTTGCACTGAGCTATAGCCCCAGTCCCTGAAAGGTCATTTTCTACCAGATAGAGCCAAATCACTTTCTCAAAACTCACACTCTTGTCTCCAACTTACATAACTAGTAAAAAGAAGTAATTTGAAGTGGGGTTGTAGAAGAGCTATGTAAAACAAAGCCTAATGTAGAATCTTTTATGTTACAAATTTTTTACTTGACTTGCTTTAGAAGGCACCAAATGAATTACTTAAAGAATTCCTTCAGTGACTAGCAAAAATCTATTAAACTTAAAAAGTTAATGCATTGGGTAAAACAAGTCTCTATAGTAGAGTTATAAAAAGGTTTATTATCATAACTGCCAGCAGCTGTTTGGATTTCATCAGATCCTTAATTCTTGTAGACTTCGGTTTTTATTCTATAAAGAAACAAGTTGAAAAAAAAAAATAAATAAAAAAAAACCATTATCAGTTACTGGAAAAAAAAAAAAAAAGAAACAAGTTAAAGATGTTCTCCCAGGTCAAAATAAGCACTAGGATTTTATAATTTTGTTAAAATATTTATTTATTTATTTAAGTTGTTAATGAACTTTTATTTATTTTTTATATTTATTTTTAATTTTTTTTTAGTTGACAGTGGACTTTATTTTTATTTTTTAAACCCAGTGCCTCACACATACTAGGCAAGTGCTTTACCAACTAAGCCACAACTCCAGCCCTGGATTTTTTAAATTTATAAGCGATGCTGAGAATCAAACCCAGTGCCTCGTGATATTTGAGGCAAGTGCTCTACCACTGAGCCACAACCCCAGCCCCGGATTTTATAATTTTAATGTCATGTTTTTGATTCCTTGTTTCATTGATTATTAAAAAGAAGTTTATATTTCTGTAGCATCTGTTTTAATATCTTCCAGCTGATAATGCAAACTGATCTTGGGCAGGGGTTGTAGCTCAGCAGTAGAATGCTTGCCTAGAATGCATGAGGCCCTGAATTTGATCCCCAGCACTGCAAAAGCGAATGAATGAATGAATAAAGTACACAAATCTTTAAATTTAGATGTGGGTCAGTTCAGGGTCTTTAACTTTTTGGTATAATAGTAATTAAATTAGACTGTGTATTCTACTTGTGTATTTAAAATGTTTATTTGTAAAAAAAAAAAAAAAAGTTATTTTTCTCTCCTGGTAGAAACACTATTCAATTAAATTTCTTTTTTCTTTTGGCATTACTGGGGATTGAACTCAAGGGTACTCTACCCTTGCACTACATTTACATCCCTTTTAAAATACTTTTTCAATTTTGAGACAGGGTCTCACAAATTGTTGAGGGTGATCTTTGAGTCTTGAGTTGCTGGAATTACAGGCGTGCACCTCCATGTGTGACTACAGAAATAATTTTTGCAGAATTGTAGTGAGTGATAATTCTAGGTAAAAATAGATATAGAAATTGTCTTCTATTTTAGGCTTTTTGAATTGTGTCTTTATTAATAAAGTAGATTGTCCTTTTTAAGTTTTATTTTATTTTAATTTTTTTATTTTTAATTTTTAAAAAATATTTATTTTTTTAGGTGTAGATGGACACAACACAATGCCTTTATTTTTATGTGGTGCTGAGGATTGAACCCGGGCCCCGCCCATGCTAGGCGAGAGCTCTACTGCTGAGCCACAATCCCAGCCCAAGATTGTCCTTTTTTTAATGAAGAGATTTGTGTGTGTGTGTGAGCGTGTGTGAGCTCGTGTGAGCTCACTGAGCCACATCCCCAGCCCTTCTAAAAATTTTTTTGAGACAGTCTTGCTCAGGGCCTTGTAAGTTGCTTAGGCTGGCTTTGAAGTTATGATCCTCCTGCCTCAACCTCCGAGTTGCTAGAATTACAGGCATGCACCACCACGCCTGACAAATGAAGAGGTTTTAAAGAGAAAAGATTCATTAAAGTCTTCACTGGATACTTCAGTTTCTGAGATCATGTGTTATGCTGATCAGGTAACCAGCTGTCAGCTTTGTTTATTGACTTGTAAGAAGGACTATAACCCTAAAGTCTGTGGAAGTAGTTTGTGACAAAGGAGAAAAGGGTGGCTAATTTTTGAAATAATTTCAGTCAGTAAATATTTTGGGGCATTAATTATGCATGTTCACAGAATTTAAATCCTATTATAAGAAATGCCAGATAACTTTTTAGAAAAGGTTAATTTTAATATTAGAAATTGCCTAAGTAGACTGTTAACTGACATGTACTAATATTTAATCTCCAATTTACTATTTTTTCAAAAAAAATTTTAAAGGTTTTTTGTTGTTGTTGTTGTAGATGGACACAATATCTTTGTTTTATTTATTTATTTTTTTATATGGTGCTGAGGATTGAACCCAGTGTTTACACATACATGTGAGGCAAGCACTCAACCACTGAGCTACAACCCCAGCCCCTCCATTTTACTATTTTATTTGAAGGGTTTTATTGGAATAAATTTTTCTGAGCAACTGATTTGTGAAGTTGGGAAACTATTTGCTTTCTGTATGGAAAAATCACAGTGTACATTAGCACTTTGAACTTCAGAAGCTTGTATGAAATGAATATATTTTTTTATTAAAACCAGTTTTTGTATACTTACATAATTTGATTACAGAGAATTTTAAATAATGTTTATAATGCATACTAATATCCTTAAGAATTAGTATTCTGTGGCTGTCCTTTTAATAATTTTTTGTGATTTTTTTTCACATTAATATCTTTTTCTTTTTTTGCCGTTCTGGGGATTGAACCCAGGGCCTTGTGCATGTGAGGCAAGCACTCTACCAACTGAGCTATATCTATATCCTCAGCCTTGCATTAATATCTTGATCCACCTTTTCCCTTCACTTACCCTTCCTTATAGAAAATTTTGTTATATTGCTAACTAGACCATGTACTATTCTGGCCTGTATCTTTCAAATTCAGTGTTTCTGACTCTGAGATTTCTTTTTAAGCACCATTGTGGGGGATTGGTTCCTAGAAAAAATTTGTGGATATTCAAGTCCCTAATAAAAAATGGCTTGTTATCTGCATATAACCTACACACATCCTCCTGTATATTTTAAATCTCTCTAGGTTACTTGTAATAAATACCTAATGCAATACAAGTGCTATCTATGCAAATCTTTGTTACACTGTATTGTTTAGGGAATAATGATAAGAAAAAAAGTATGTGTTCAGTACAGATGCAGTTTGTTTTCTGACGTGTTTGATTAGAGATTGGTTGAATTTATGCACATGGAACACATGGATATGAGGGGCTTACTATACATATAAATGTTTTTTGAGAGGCAGTATGATATGCTCATTTAGTGCATGGATTCTAAAATCAGATTGCCAGAATTTGAATCCTGACATTGTTGTATATCCTTGGGCAATATATCTGACATGTCTATACCTCAGTCTTTCCATCATAACATGGGCATGATAATAGTACCTATTTCATAGGGTTACTGTGAGAATTAAATATAAAGTCTTTTTATAACAATGCCTGGTATGTGTTAGATGGTCAGCAATTACTAATTGTTATATACAACATGATTAATGAATATAAAAATAGATTTATGGGTTACATAAGTAAAAAAAAAATTGAGACTTTTAACGTTTTAAAGCATCTTTTTCAGTAATTGGCACTGGCTGCCTCTTTATATGTAAGGCTCACTGGAACCGTCATACTCATTAGTTTGCATATGGTCTGTGGTTGTGCTATATAGCATCAGAGTTGAGAAGTTGCATTGGAGACTGTGTAGCTTGCCAAGCGCATGAAATATTCTCTGACCCTTTTTGAAATAGATCTAGAAGCAACGAATGCTTCTAGCATATATTAAGTGCTAATGAGTACCTGATACTAATAGTATTCAATGAACAAGTATTTATTATCCTTTTGTGTATTTCAGTCTAAATATGGAATATTTGGAAAAAAGTGCATAAAAGTTTAAAAATAAAAATAATCCTTAATATTTCCATTCCTGCACATAGCCATATAGCTTTAATAACATTTAGCGTATATAGTTTTAGCTTTATTCCCCTCTTTGGACGTAATTGTGCATAAATTGAGATTAGTTTTTATTTACATTTTGCCTTATCTGCTTAATACAATTTGATTATCTACTTGATATCAAAAGTATATTCTTGAACAGCACTGGAAATTTTTAGTGTTTCTAATGACTTCTGACAAATACAAGGACCCTAATCACTTAAACAATACCCTATTGTTGTAGATATAGTTTGTAGCAAACTATGAGCAAATAACATTAAGATCATCAGCATCGTAGAATATGAACCTTTATTATGATATATGTATAACTTTACAATAGATTTCTAGATGTGTAATTCTTGGGATAAGGAGTTCTCTGTATTTTCTGATCATTGATGTATCAAAATCTTTATCCTAAGGAAACCAGGTAGCAATCAAAGTCAATTGAATTTTTTCTTAATATCTTTAGGAAAAAATCGATTTTCAACATGCGCATGGGTTACAAGAATTGGAGTTTATTCAAGGACATTCTGATACAGAAGCAGCAAGACAGTGTGTGGACCAGTGGCTAAAAATGCCAGGTATTCTTTAGAAATTATGTTAAGGTTACTAAGCTTCCAGAAAGCCCTAAGGCAGAAAGTATGTCTGTTTCATTCATTTGCTAATAAGCATGTAAGGTGTTGAAATTTAGTTTTAGTGATAGTAATATCACTTCATAATGGCTTACTTTATAATGGCCTCCTTCATCAGTTGTGTTTCTTCTTTGGCAGAAGTATATTTTGAGAAGAAGCAATATAGATCATCTCTGAGCTCAGAAGACACTGTTTATAATTCATTCATATATTTCATATTTATTGCATTAAGTAGTATGTATCTGTCAGAGGCTGTATAACAGTTTATTTGAGATCAGAAAAGGTCTAAGAAAATGAAATTTAAACTATTATCTAGAGGATTATTGTTTATGTATTCATCAATGTAGTCTACGTAGATATTTTGTAAGGAAATATCTGCTACTCACTCTTTGCAGACCTGAGCTTTCTGGAAGCATTACTGTGAAACAGTTCTTCCCCAGCTAGATAATTTGGAATTTTCAACAGCTATTAGGAGAACCCCACTGTGACAGCTTTTCTAGCCTTTCTTATAGTATATCCACAGGAATCTTACTTATGGATTTAATCTAGAATGTCTCATTGCAAAAAATCATCAGAAATCTATGTGTGAAGTGCTTAACTTTGTTGAACCTAGATATCTTATCATCCCAAAGTTAATTATCAGGGGGCTTTCCTTTGACTACAGTTACCACTTACAAAAGATTTTAAATAATTTATATTTATTGATATTTAGCAGTTATCACGGATACAATATTCTTTTTGACAGTTGGCCACCACTCAAACTATATTTTCTTCTTTTTTTTAATATTTATTTTTTAGTTGTAGGTGGACACACAATCTTTCTTTCATTTTTATGTGGTGCTAAGGATCGAACCCAGTGCCTCATGTGTGCTAGGCAAGCACTCTACCACTGAGCCACAACCCCAGCCCCTATATTTCCTTCTTAACCCTCAATCTGCTTGTGTATAACAAACTTCCACTCAGCCTATCCCAACCCACACATCTTGTAAAGTAATTTTCACTTTTTTCTTCTTATTTGTCTGTAAGGCTAATACATATTTCCTGTTCCTCCAGTACTCAGTACTGGGGATTGCTGAGTTTATTTATGGTTGTCGTACGTCATGTTTAATTATGTGTTAAGCCTATCTTGGTTTATTTTGAGTAGGGTTAGTTGCTCAGCCCCCTTGAGCTACTATCTTATAGTACCTTATTTGTTTCTTTAATGCAGTATTTACTTACTCTTTTATGTTGAATTGATCTGTTTCTGTTTGTCTCTTCCAGCAGACAGTATTTTCTTTGAGGACAGAGAACACAAGTTTTTTTTTAGTGTCAGTTCATATAAAGAATACCCAGCACAGATATGCTCTATATCTGTTGGTTGACTGTTGTATTGAGGTGGGCTATAAGTATTTACATAATAAACATGGAAGCCTAGAACTTGGGTTCCAAACTAGATGATTAGCAGTTAAATAAACAAATGTTATGGCATTCCAGACCACCTTTACCTTTGGAAAATTTGATAAATGATTTTGCCTCTTGAGATGTTCTTTTAAAGTTTATAGTTAAAAAAAATACCTCTTAATGCGAAGTCATTTCTCAGTGGAAGAAGTTACTGATTAGCTCAGTGGTTTCACCTTGACTGCATTAGAATCACCTGGGAACTTGTAAACATATGCCTAGGCCCGGTTATCTCCAGAGGATCTTTTAGAGTATCTCCAGTTTGGGGAATATTTCTGGGTAGACAGGAAAATGGGCTAAAACTACAAGCCTGTGTTATCTTTAAGACTGCTTCTAAAAATCACCAATCTCGTATATGAGTCTAACCATATAGAATGTTTGTTGGGTCAGTAATATGTTCTTTTAGACCTAATTCATGGCTTCTAGAGTGTCAGAATTTTTTAAGGCATAGTAAATTCAATTCTTGAACATTTAATTATTCATTTTCCTGAGCAGACCTGAGTTTTTTAGTTGTGTCTTTATGGTACTAAGAAGACTAGGTATTCTCTCTACCTTCAGGTCATGCCTGGCTCGCTGATAGCAGATAAACTTGAGTTCAGTGTTAAATTCTGCAGTTATCTCTGTGTGATAGTGTGTGTGTGTGTGTGTGTGTGTGTGAGAGAGAGAGAGAGAGAGAGAGAGAGAGATATCAGTCGATCCATCAAGGTAGCTTTTTACTTGGTTTTTGAGACAATATAAAAATGAAGTTTGAATTCATTGCTAGAATAGCTGCTTTGTTGTTGGGCTGTAATTGGTATGTTGGGCTTTATTTAGACCTTTTAAGAGGGTATAACTGGGAGAAACAGAGAGAAGTTGTGGTTTTGTTTATAAAAAGTGTGATCCTAGTGGCTGGAGTTGTGGCTCAGCCGTACTGCGCTTACCTAGTCTGTTCAGGGCCCTGGGTTCCATCTTTAGCACCACATAAATCAAATAAAGGTATTATGTCTACCTACAACTAAAAACATATTTTAAAAAAATGAGATTCTACTTCTTAGTAGTTTTAAGTACTCATTCAATCTTATTTCAAAGTACTCAGCTATTATAATTCAGTTTTTTTAATTAAAGCTACTTTAAGTATTTTATAATCACTCAGACTTTGGACATTTTTTGTTGTTATTATTATTTCTTGTTTGTAGTGCTGGGGATTGAATCCAGGACCTAGTGCATGCTCGACAAGTATTCTACTCTGAGCCACACCCCTAGCCCTGGACCGTCTACTTTTTATGGACCTTTATAGTTGAGCCAGTTGCATACATTTAAATACTAAATAATTTTAAGGCATTGCACCCAAAACTATTTAAGGAAAAAGGCTTTTTAATCTTTGTGTTTTGCTCTTCCATGGGGAATATTTATTTTCTTTTGATAGGTTGGTTTTTTTCCAACTTAATTTTTATTGAGTTGCTGTTTGTAGCTAAATAAAGGTCCTAGTGGAAGACATCTGGAATATGAATGGACAGATGTAAAAACTGTCATACTCTGACTACATTAAAAAAGTTAAAGATAGGACTGGGTATATAGCTCAATGATAGAGTATTTATCTTGCCTTGTGTGTTCCAAGCTCTCTGACTTCAACCCCCAGCACCACACATGCAGACTTAAAGATAAAAGATGCATTAACATTTAAGGCCTCATTAAAACTAAAATATGATTAAGGCTGTGGTATCCATTATTTGTTGTCAGAATACATTTAAAAACATTTTGATAGTTTAATAGAGGCATTTCCCCCATTAGGACTAAAACAGCAGAAAAACAGTTAAAACCTTAAACATTTACACCCATTTTTGGGATTAAAAAACTAGATTATGTTAAAGGAATAATTCTAGTCCAGTAAATGTTTAGGGACTTTGTAGAAACTACCCAATTTTCCATTGTTATGGAATATTCAAGGCATTTAAATGAAACAGTTCATAAGAGATAATAATAAAAGATAGTAATCAAACTATCATTGCATCAGAATCCTCCTGACATTATAATTTTTTTATACAACATAATTCTAAATTTCCCATCATATATCAAGTGTTGGGAGTTTCCGAGAGCAAATTTTGACTAGGGAGATTAGTCTAAAGAGTTGTGTAACTATATAATCAAGATGGTAAAGAATGAACCCATTATTAATATTGGGTTCAGAGAGAGAGCAACATTAAACAAATCTCTGCTTTATATTCTATAAATTTGTTGTTACTGACACTGCATTACTTGATGTCCAGGTTGGAAATGATTGATCAGTGGCTAGATTTGTCAGAAAATAGCACTCTTATCTTCCTTTGCCTCTCTGCTTTCTTTATTCCTAGCCTTCACTTCATTTACATTGTTTAACACAATTTTCACAAAACGCAAGTACTCTATAAGACAAGCTCAACCTTTTCTTTTTTTTCTTTAATATTTTTTTAGTTGTAGATGGACATAGTACCTTTATTTTTAATTTGGTACTGAAGATTGAACCCAGTGCCTCACACATGCCAGCCAAATGCTCTACCACTGGATAAGCTCAACCTTTAAATCTGTTTAAGACAGTTAAAAGAGAAAATAAGAATTGGAAGAAATGATCTTGGCAAATATATATGAATGAGATGAAGGAAGTAGGGGCTGAATTTTGTAGGGCATTTTATCCTCAACATTTCTTGGCTGTTGAATTTAAGAAGATGGATTTATCCCCTGAAGAAAATGCTTGTGGAAAAGTTAAGGACTGTTTTTGTCCAAAATAACTAATTAACTTTAAAGTTATTTTATCTTTTATAAGAGATATAATAAACAATTACAATTAGAATCATACACTTGATGTTGTATTCTAATTTTCATTGTTTTGCCATAATTTTGATTGTCATTCCAAAGGACAATTATCTGAAAATAGTAACTTAAGAATTTATATTCTAATGATGCAGGACTCAAAACAGGTACAATTAATTCTGGAACAAAAAGTTCATTCCAAAGAGGAGGCCAAATGCGGAAGTGTGGGAAGCCAATTTCATGTCCTATAATGCACTGTAACAAGGAATTTGACAATGGGCACCTTCTCTTAGGGCATTTGAAAAGGTAAGTAGGATATTCAGAATAAAGGACACTTATGAACAAGTGAAGTACAAAGCAAAATTATTTATTTATTTATTGTGCTCTTGGGGATCAAATCCAGGCTTGCATGTGCTAAATTAATGCTTTACCACTGGGCTATATCCCCAGCTCCTGCAGTAATTTTGTTAAATGAAAGTGTGATATATTTCTGTCGTTGTGATTATAGCTATATATTTGAAATTCAAGATGTTTTGTGCTATCTTGATGTAATTATTTCTAATTTATATTTAGGTTCCCTAAAAAAGCTTGGTGAAGTCAGATTTTTCTAGTGATATTCTGTCTTTATGGGTGTAGCCTTTTAAGTATGTATTTTTCCCTAATATGTCTCATAAAATGCTGAGCAGCCTTTACATTGAACTGCAGTTGAATTTGTTATAGCTCATAAATGTAAATTTTTTTATATTTATTTTTTAGTTGTAGTTTAGTTGGACACAATACCTTTGTTTTTATTTATTTTTATGTGGTGTTAAGGATCAAACCCAGGGCCTCGCACGTGCTAGATAAGCACTCTAACACTGAGCCACAACCCCAGCCCCCATAAATGTAAATTTTAAGAGATGCAGAACACTTTCGATATTGGTCTATCCTAAAGTTGTTAGTAGGCATTTAAAAAAATACTAAAGGCAAACCAGTGGAAGTAAAATTAATAATAAGGAAATACTCTATGAAACTCATTTAATCAATTTACTGAGATTTTTCGTAGAAGAACAGAAGAAAGTGAAGGTGGCATAAAGATAGTAGACATTCTTTTCTCCATAGTCTCCCTTTCTAATAGCTGAAAGGGGGGAAGTTGAGAATTTGGGGCTCCAAACCATGTCTTCTCCAGATGTCCTACTCTACTTATGCCTGCCTTTACCTTTATTTTTTTTGTTGTTTATTTTTTATTGGTGCATTATAATTACACATAACAGTGGGATTCAGTATGCCATATTTTACCTTACCTTTAAAAGGTCTTTGAGGCAGTTTAAAATGGCACATATTTGGTCTGGGGCTGGGACTTAGTGGCAGCGTGCTTGCCTGGCACCATGATGCATTTTATTTTATAAAAAATAAAATAAAGGTATTATGTTTACCTATAACTTAAAAAATACATATTAAAAAAATGACACAGATTTAAGTGGTTAAAGTGAACACTGAAAGGATTAAAAACCATTTGTAGGTGCTCAGGATTGAACCCAAGACCTCTCCTATGCTAGGCAAGTACTCTACCACTGAGCCATAACCCCAGTCCATGCCACAAAATCTTAACATGAGATTATTATTGCAGTGATTTATTTAAAGTTATTTGTGAGTCTTATGGTAATCAAAGCAAGAAGGAAAACATAATAGGCTTATAATTTTTCAAACTGGAAGTTTACTAGTCTGGCAAGAAATATTTAAATCCATTTTATTGGATCTTGAGTATTTTTATGAAATCTTGAGTTAACTGTTGACCACTGAGGATATTGGAGCCACTTGAAAGTTCTTGAACTTGAAGAACATTATTTAATATTTCAATGAAGTAGTACAAAAAGTTTTGAGTATGTGTGTGTATTTAGCTTCACAAATAAAGCAAAATAATTTATCCTCTAGAATGTGGATCTTTCTAATGTCCCTTCTCTTTTGCTGTGTAGGTTTGATCACTCTCCATGTGATCCAACCATTACATTACGTGGACCTTTCTCCAGTTCCTTTGCTTGTGTAATATGTTGTAAAAATTTTGTTACTCAGCAGCAATATAGGGATCATCTTTTTGCTAAGGTAAGAGCATATTCTAAGAGTAGATATTCTTTTTCTAAATAACCTTGGAGTTGGGTATAGGTTTATGTTCATACTGCTTTTAAGCTTGCAATCACACGTAAGGTTAGAATGTACTCTCTACTGAAAATAATATGATTGTGGCACTAAATTATTGTGAGCAGGTAAGCTTCATAGCTGAGAGCCAGTAGTCTATGAGTTTATATTGAAAGCTTTCCTTTCATGCAGTTGCTCTATGAAATTAAATTAAACTGCCTTGTTTAAGATTCTCTATGAGTTGGTCACATGTGAGAAATAGAGTCATATTTTGAAGTCTGCTGTCTGTAGTAAGTCTGCCCCCAGTTAGTAAATGAAAACTTTTATTTATGCTAGAATTAATAATTTATTAATGCTAGTATTAAGAAATAGTATTAATATTTATAAAACTTTGTTTTTTAATTCTCCTTAAAGTGTTTAATCTCAAGAGACATGAATTGATTCCTGGATATGCACATCAAGGGATTGGGATATAGCCCTGTGGGATAGAGTACTCACTTTGCATGGATATTAAGCTACTTATAATACAGAACTCTCATGGGTTTTTACCATATTATATAGTAGATATATTTAATGACTTATTAACATTACAAAAGTAATTCAGTTGGTCCTCCATATCTATATCCTCCATCTGTGGATTCAACAAACTGGATCAAAAATATATATTTTTAAATTGTATCTATAATAAATATGTACAAACCTTTTTCTTAACATTAATTCCCAAACAATACCATATAACAACTATTTATTGAGCATTACATTGTATTGGGTATTATAAGTAATCCTGAGATGACTTAAAATACACAGGAGCAGGTGCAGAGGTTGTATCAAGTATTGTGCCATTTTATATAAGGGACTTGAGCATCAGATTTTGGTATCTGCAGTGGGTCCTAGAATCAGTCCCCCACCAGATACTGAGGGATGACTATAGGTGTTCATATTTAAAATCTAACAGAAGGAAATTAAGAACTCACTTTTATTCTCAGTTAACGACTGTTAATAATGTGATATATGTCTTTAATATTCTCCATATTTTTGGAGCCAGGGTTGTGGCTCAGTGGTAGAGCACTTGCCTAGCATGCATGAGGCACTGGATTTGATCCCCAGCACCACATTAAAATATATATATATATATATATATATATATATATATATATAGAAACAATAAAATAAAGGTATTGTGTCCCTATAACTAAAAAAAAGATTTGTAAAACTATTCTCCATATTTTTCATATAAGATAAGGTATCTAAATTTCCTTGGGATTCAAAATAACAGAGTGTTGTAAACATAAATCCAGAGTTACTGAATATATTCATATATTTCTACTTTTTAAAATCAATGAATATATTAGTTTACTTAATTAATTTCCTTTGGATGTATTAATTTTTTATCATTAAAACAATACCACATTAAATATCCTGGTGACTTAAAACCTTTGAGAAGATCCATATTTGATGTATTACTGAATGAAGAGTAGTTTTTGCAATGGGGATGTGCTAGTATGCACATCCCTATTGCAAATTTTAATTTTAATTGTGCTTTCATAATTTGCTTATATCTAGAACTATATCCGAAACTTAATATAGGGAATAGCTCGAATTTTGTGTAGGTTCACAGTACAGAATTAAAGCTTATAATCTAAATTATATCTAATTGAGTTCTGTAGTCTTCCCATCCTGTGCTCCAGCTCTGGAGAACATTTTGAGAACATACATACAATCAGTCATTAACTTTTAAGAGCCATCATCTGTAGTATAAGAGAAATCAACTGCAGTTCTTACACACAGCTTGTGCTCTAAAACAAAAAGTCTTGTTGGTAAAACATAAAGTAAAATAGGAACTAAGAGAAAGGGGAGAGAAGTGTCAGAGAATGTTATTTTACAGTGCATTATGAAAAACAGTAGGTCTTCAAAGATTGGATGTAGTTAGATGGAAAGTGCAAGTGATGAAATTCAGATAAGTTTGAAGAGCCTGAACAGAATAAGCAACTGTAGAAAGCGACTGTTCAGAAAAGTTAATAGACCTGAGACTACCATCCTTAAAAAGACTTGCTTGCACAAATGTTGGCCCTCGACTAATGTCTAAGAACTTGGATTTTGGGGAGAATTTCCATTATTCTTTTGATATGAGAGGCTCACTTTGCCTGAATTCTGTGTGCAAACATCATGGTTTATGCCAAGCACCTGTTTTCCTTATAGGAGCCTAGAATTTTGATACATGCTAGGCTGAGACTGCCTATAGTAATAGCCCTTGAATACTAAATCTCTAGTAAATTTCTGTAGTAGACCACAGTTGGAATGTGTCTATCACCTTGTTGGTAGAGGAATTAAATGTGCCTATATGACTACACTGAGAAAGATTCCTCGGAATATTATACCTGGACTTTGCCCCTTGTACTTTTTTCCTCTGCTGATTTTGCATAACCTTGCACTCAAAAGTTTTGGCTGTGAGTATGACAGTGTACTTTGTCTTGTAAGTTCTCTTGGCAAAGTGTTGAACCCCCGAGGGTAATCTTATAACATAGATTAATAATCTTTTAACATATTCCTCTACTAACCTGATTGTAAAGACACAGGATTTTAAATCTGATATTGGCAAGAGGGAGCCATTATAGAACCATTATAGATGGAACACTGTTGTAGAACAATGACATGATAAAAATAATGATTTATACCTTTAGAACTGGAAGTATTTATAATTTTTCAACCCAGTTTCTTTCCTGTTTTTAGGGACACCAAGAAGATTGAATGGTATTAGACTAATAGTTATGTTCAGAGTGGACTCAAAGATGTGAACAGGAGACTAGTTTAGGTGACTTTTGCAGTAATTTAGTTTTTTATTTTTTAATTGTCAGTGGATCTTTATTTTTATTTATTTATATGTGGAGAATTGAACCCAGCGCCTCACACATGCTAAGCAAGTACTCTACCACTGAGCCTCAAACCCAGCCTCAAAAAAATTCAGTTTTGAGATGAGAAAAAGCTTTGACTTAAATACTGATATTTAGAATGAAAACCTTAACATGAAGCCGAAAGACATGTTGAAGGAAAAAATGATAGAGGGCTATCTGTTGCCACTACAGATGGAAAGTTTGGGTAAAGAAGGGAGAAAGGGTACAAAAGACTGCATTCCATAATTTTTTTTAGTGTTTTTAGTAGTTCACTAATATTCTGACTTTTCAGAACTAGAGTTCTTTTGGGGCATGTTTCTCTATTCCATGCTCTAAGTATTTTTTCTGTTGTAATGAACATACTTATACTTTAGAAAATGTGAATAGGTGATTTATAATTAAAATTAATTCTTTCATTTGTATTTCCCTGTATTTCATTAATTCGCTCATTTTCTTTCTGAGAAAGAAAATCAAACATTCCATGCTATTTTGCTCTCTCTTTTGTCTTTTCTCCGGAAGTAGATTTATGACTTTCAGCCTGCTGAGAGGCAATATTCTACAATACAGAAAAGATTTTGATGTCAGACCTGGGTTTCATTTTAATTGGTGTATTATAGTTATATGTAATGATGGGATTTGTTGTTACATATTGGTACATTCACATAATACAAAATATAGCAATATAATTTGGCCCATATCACTCAGCATCATTTTCTCCCTCCCTCCCTTCTTCCTACTCCCTGGTCCTTTTCATCTACTTATCTCCCTTTGATTTTCATGATATCCCTGTCTGCCAACCTTTCTTTTCCTTTTTTCCTGTCTAGCTTATGAGAGAAAACATAATGACCCTTGCTTCTTTCCTTCTGAGTTTGGCTTATTTCACCTAATATGATTGTAAGTTCCATCCACTTTTGTGCAAATGATATAATTTCGTTTTTCTTATGGCTGAATTAAACTCCATTGTGTATATAAACCACATTTTTGTTATCCATTCATCCATTGATGAACACCTAGGTTGGTTCATGGTTTGGCCATTGTGAATTGTGCTGTTATAAATATAGGTGTGCCTGTATCACTATAATATACTGACATATTGATCCTTTTTATTTTTATTTTTTTGGTATTGAGGATTGAACCCAGAGGTACTTAACCTCTGAGCTACATCCCCAGTTCTTTTTATTTTTTATTTTGAGACATTGTAGGGCATCTAGGTTGCTTTCACAGTTTAGCTATTGTGAAAAGAGCTGCTATCAAAACATTGTTGTGGCTGTGTTACTATACTATGCTGATTTAAGTCCTTTGAGTATAGACCAAGGAGTGGGATAGCTGGGTCAAATGGTGGTTCCATTCCAAGTTTTCTAAGGAATCTCCATACTGCTTTCCAGAGTGGTTGCAGTCCAATTTGCAGTCCCGAGAGTAACATATGAGTATGCCTTTTTCCCACTTCCTCATCAACACTTATTGTTGTTTGTATTCTTGATAACTGCCATTTTGACTCGTATGAGATGAAATCTTAGAGTAATTTTGATATGCATTTCTCTAATTACTAGAGATGTTGAACATTTTTTCACATATTTATTGATCAAATGTATATATATCTTCTTTTGAGAAGTGTCTGTTCAGCTCCTTAGCCCATTTATTGATGGGATTGTTTGTTTTCTTGGTGTTAAGTTTTTTGAGTTCTTTATATATCCTGGAGATTAGTGCTATATCTGATGTGCGTGTGGCAAGTTGCTTAGGGCCTCACTAAGTTGCTGAGGCTGGCCTTGAACTTGTAATCTTCCTGCCTCAGCCTTTCTAGTTGCTGGGATTACAGATCTGCCCCACCATGCCTGGCCTGATTTTGATTCTTTAGGGTAAATAACGAGGAGTGGTATAGTTGGGTCATAGGATGGTTCCATTTTAGTCTTTTGAGGAACATCCATATTGATTTCCAAATGGTTATACTAATTTAGTTCCTTTTTCTCCACATCTTCTCCAGCATTTATTATTATTTGTATTCTTGATGATTGCCATTCTGATAGAAGATGAAAACTCAGTGTAGTTTTAATTTGCATTTCTGCAATTAGCATGTAT